CGAGTTGGCTACATCAGTAGAATTCAGAACACATACATATTTGTTTAATTTAATCTTTTATTATTGGTCTCACGCTATGCCCCAGGTCTCGATCATTTGTATGTCTTTCTGAATAACATAACACATAAAAGTGTCCTGTGTATATACCACACTAGACAGGCATACACATTACTAAAAACAGGCCACAGACTCTGTTAGCATAAAGCTACTTAGCTGACTTCAAGGAAACCAAGCTGATTTACTCCAACCCACAATCGCACCATTATTCTGTAAGGTATTCTTTCTTTTGAGTTTTTGTGTGTGTGTGTTTGGTTGGGTTTGTTTTTTTTTTTTTTTAATATAGTAGGACAATAAAGTCACTACATTTATAGCCCAGAACACTCTCCGCATATTCCAATATCTTGTTTGCTCTTTTAACAGCTACCAAACACTGTGCAGATGGTTTCACTAAATTATCAACAATCACTCCAAAGTCAGTTCTGATATTCCTGTCCTTAGGGTTATACTACCGGGGCCAAGCACATCCCTGGTGCAGCTCTGTTAGCCTAACACATTTGGCCCACTGACCACAAAGTGCACTGCCTCCAATTACCTTCTCTCTCTTGCTCTTATCTCAGTTTACTGACTCTCTACTTATCTTAGTCCCTTCCTTATCTAAAACAGTGCAATCTTCCAGGTCCCCTAATGCAGTTCATGATTTGACTCCTGTTGTTCTCGTCTAATGTTATTGTCCCTTTCTGTGTTTTACTTTCTCTCTTCCTTTTCCTGAAGCACTCCCACAAGCACTGGGGTCTTAAAAATCACTGCTGTTTACAGAGTTTATTACTTTCCATCATTTCTTATGATTCTCCTGCAGCATGTCTTTCAAATAATTATCTCTGTGATTTATGATATTGGTCATGTAACCTCCTCCTTCCTGTACTAATCAGCTCTGGATTAGCTAGTTAGTAGGGCCAGATTGCCCCCGACAGACTTTTTCCCATCTCTGTGCCTCACCCAGGCATCTTGGGATCACGGTCCCTCTGGCTTTCTACGTGCACACAGAGCTCCTCGCCAGGTCTTCCAGGGCACGCTCACCCCAGCCGGCCAGGCAGCAGCCTTAACTGAGTATTTCAGCAAATGTCTCAAACTCTGAGGAGCTGGCGACTCTGCAAAACCACCTCTCCTTCTGCCTCTATTTAGGTCGTGTAGCCATATGCCACTCCCCATGCAAGGCTTTCACTGAAAGCCACCATAAAGAGCCCATCACAGTACATCTAAACCACTCAACTCTCTGTACCTGAGCTTCTATAAAGTGCCACTGAACTAACGAACAAGCACACTGTTCACTAAAATATCATAGGTGAGTAAAGAATTGGTTTAAACTATCTTCAGATAGATCAGCTGGGTCCTATCACAAAGGGGAGGGGGAAAGAAACCAGTGAAATCACCTCTTTCCTTTTTGGGGCAGCAGCAAGGAACTGTCATAGCCTGTACTGTGGATTATACAGCAAAAATGCTATTTTGGACCCCAAGTATCTACCTGGTTACCTAGAGTGTGGAAAGAGATACATAGACACATTTCTTCTGAAACAAAACAAATCATAGCTACTCATAAACTAACAAAAAAAAAACCCCAAAACCAAAAACCAACCAATGGCTGTAATTACCTCTCTACCATGCAACTAAAAAGCACGGACACGGGCAGAAATGCCCACATAGCTTTGCAAGAGCAAAGACACAGAATTACGGCTTACCAGATCCAAATGCTTGATTGTGACCCTGCCTCAGCGCTACCTTCCTGTAACCTCTATTAACAGCACGAAACTCGTTTCCCAAAAAAAACTTCAGGGTATGCTGTGTATTTTTGAGGTCAGTCCAATTAAAGTATGTAATAACGGTAATATTGCAACAGTATGAAAGACGTGATACATTTCTAGGGTAAATAATGCTATAGTTTTGGAGAACTTAATGTATGGATACCTTCGCGGGGTTTATTTACCCCTTCTTTTGGTGATGTTGTGTCATATTCACACAAAAATAGTTCTTTGGGAAAATGTCAACGAGACTTTTCATAGGCATTTTCAGACTATTACATAAGAAGACGGCACAGATATTTCCTTCCCACAGAAATTAAATTGGTGTGCAAGGGGGAAACGAATATTTCAACCTCCTGAAGTAAAAGATGAAGTTAGCTTTACCTACCTACGCAGACACGAAAGCTGGGTGGTAAGGTACAGTGCTTTGCTGATGCATTTATGATTCTTAGCGATCTGACAGACATCCTCTGGGTAATCGTAGGTTTAAAATGCTACTGCCCCTGGCTTTCCATCCCCCTGCTCTGCCAGAGATTACCACTCCTGTAGCAGAAGCAACAGGAGACAATGCACTGTAGTTCCCTCTTCCGTAAGAGAACAAGGAGGGCAGGGCTCAGTTACGTATTGCAGATGCTCCAGTTCTCAGCCTGGTATCTTAGCAAAACACAGGGGACTTTGAACTGGAGTTTCTGAAGCACAGGCACATGCCCCCAGCTGCTACCTCCTTTCCAAGCAGAGTAGCCTCTGATTAAAAAACAAACAAACAAACAAACAAAAAAAACCAAAAAGACCCCACCACCCCCCAACAAAAAAAAAAAAACAACCAAAACCCAACCAACCAGTGAAGAGAACTGAGAAATTAATCTCCTAGGCTCTTACAGCTAGATCCAAGTGACGTAATTCAGAGTGATGATTCTTAGGGTGTAAGATACCCTATTAATTAGGACTCCCAAAACATCTTTGAAGGAGATTATTTGGAAAAGTTCTGAGTGCTCTTAATGTGAGCACTGAATAGGATTGTTCATGGATGCTATTACCTGTAGTATGTGAACTGAAGCTAATGCTCTTCAGAGGAGAAAGTACAGACGTTAACAATTCAAAGATTTCCTCATAATACTTTTTGCACACATCGATCTATTTCCTGCTATTAAAAAACAAACAAACAAAAACCCACAAACAAGGCAAAAATATTTACTAGATATTGTCCTGTGAAAATGGACTTACAGCCCAAACCAGTCAGATGGCAAGGGAAGTGAAACTCTAAGCACTAATCCCTGGGGAATAGTCCCAGGTACCAGAGAATCCCAAAGACGGAAAGATTCTGAGCAAAGGGCTCTTTGCAGGGTATTACTGGAGAAAACAATCCTTAATGTTCCTGTATCCCAATTTCCTGTTGTTACCACAGCAGCCAACTGTTAAGTAAAGCAGGGAGTCTTGGTCTGACAAGCATATGAAATTAATGCCTTCAGAGAATGCAGCGTTAAGATTTGCACCGTAGTTGGTGTGTAGGAAAGTTAGACTTGTGTGACCTTGGAGAGAAAAAACTTGGGCTCTCTGTCATGGAAAGTCATATCCCTAGAGCAAAATTTGGGCATTGCCCTAAACCTGTAATGTAATCTTAACTCTCTCAAATGGATCCTGAGGGGATCTGCCAAGCCCTTATCTAATTTCACCTCTGTTCAGCTACAGGTGCAAATGAACTGTCACAGCTGAGGAAACGCGAGCGCCTACAGCCGTACCACAGTGCGCGGGTCTTGCAGTGATGCCTCCCAGATTTGCTTCATGGTAGCACTACCCTGGGCTGCCCACTGCTCTGGGCAGCAAAAAGACGCACAAGCAAAGACGCACAAGCTAACTCCATTACAGCTCCTCCTAAAAATACAGGTGAAGCCTGCGTTTTCCCTCCACTTGTGGCATAGCTTGAAAACAAAATCAAAACCCCAACCAAGCAAACAAAAACCCAGCACCTCCACCCCAGCCCCAAACACCCCACATTCAAATTCAGTAGGATATTAAAACGCCTGTGAAAATGTGTAAGTGTTCTCAGTCAGAATCAATCTTTCTCCAGATTTACATAGACCATCCTCCTCCCTTTTTTCAGTCAAATACAGTGCTTTGGCAATCTAACTCCTGGCTATAATTCATATATACATACACATGAATTGTACATACTCCTCATACTCCTCACTTCTCCTTTTTTTTCCCCGGCCCCGGAAGCCATTCTAGGCACTGGGAACAGACCATCATTTCCTCTTCCAAAAGAAGAACCTTACTGCAGGGGGCTCTCCAGTCCAAATGGTTAGGAATCCAATACACAACAATCTTGCAGAAATCAGCTGCCAGATTTATTATTCTACCTGAAAACCCCAAACAAAAAAAAAAAAAAAAAAAAGAAACCCAAACAAACAAAAAAGTGGAATAAAAACAGACTTTAAATAAACCTCTTAGGTACATTTTAAAAAGGGTTAATCAGTTCAGTGAAAGACTTTTATATCTTCTGCTGAGAGATCATGTAATGTTGGTCTGATTGCTTGTTTTGTTCAGTGAGTCACTACCATATACAGATATATATATATATTTCTTCTTAAATATTACACATTTGATGCATTTTTTTCCTCTTTTTTTTCCATTTTTTTTCCTTTTCCGTCCAACCCCTTTCCCAAATACCCACATCCTGCCACAGGCAAGAGGCGCTCCATGCTGACATTAAAGAACCAAAACCAATCCAAGGACTTTTCATCAAAGCATGTTTCATTGGAACCTTATTTCAATGGAAACCACATTTTTTTTAAACAATCTTACCCAACCTTTTCCCTCTCCTTTTTGCTACTTCTGCAATTTTAGACTTCTGATTCTGGGTTGATCACCAAAAATTTAAGTGCCATTGAGACTTACGGATGACAGAATTAGGTGACATATTAAGGCATATATACACTCCCATAAAATATGTTGTCTTATGGATCTGAGTAAATTGAATACCTGCCCAAATGTTTTTTATGCACCTGTGGTTTCTAGTGACCACTACTTCTTTACTTTTGATTAACTACATATTAAAATATTCATAGCTTAACTAGTGTCTTAACTGACAGAAGATGGAAAATTAACCCACCACCTAGGATTGTCTTTGAAATCCATCCATTATGATGAAAATTATTATTGTTGGTTTATGGTTATGCATTCATTTTCCTCCCGCTTCTCAGGAATACAGGAAAATGAGGTGCTCCATATAACACCTATTTAAATTTCACTGGGCAAAAAAAAGAGATCCAGATCTTACCCCCTCTCCTTCCCCTTCAAACTAGGAAATAATATATTTCAGAAAAGGTGCTCATAAATATTTAAAACTTTTGGGTTTTTATCAGGGCTTTTTTTGTTTTTCATTTTACATACAGAACAGTGTGTGTGGCTTGCGTTCAAGATCACCCCTCTCAAAAAATAAAACAATTTGAAAAAATAACAGGAAAAAAAAAAACCCTCAAAATTTAAATTGTCTTCCGAGCATATCTGATCACATTTACATTTAGTGTCCAAAACAAGTTGATTGGTAACATCAGTGCCAGCACTACAACGTCATACAGTGACTTCATGGTATTCTTTGACAGTTTGTCTAAGTCTCCGTTCCACCGAAAATTACAAAAGGTTCTGCAGAGCTTTCCTTAGCAAGCTGAAGCTTACTAGTCATTTGTGGATGCGCATAAAAGCTGCTTATAGCACAGCTATGGCGTAAGCTATTTTCTAAGCAATAAATGGTTCAAGTCATCTATTTTGTCCTGAAATGCTACCTGTAGTTACAGCATTGCTTATAAATGGTCATAGTAAATTCAGCATCAAAGAGAATATTACAGAAAAAGACAGCAGCAGAAGCATTAGCATTATCTAGTATTTATATATGTTATCAACATAACACAGCAGTAAAAGGTTTAAATGCATATTAATGGGTACCGTGTCTAAAAATTACTAAAGTACCTATTTAGTGTATTGGATATTTTTCTCAAGGAGTGCTTGCTGTGTCTAAACAGCATAATTAGATATGTGACTTAGTACAGTTAATTCCTATTGATTAAATAACTTATTTATGTACCAAAGGAAATGGAAGGATACAAAATGTTTTCTCCCTCCCGATCATGATCCTGTATTTAATGCTGACATGATCATCAGAAAGCCTACCACATGTAATTACTACCCTCAAATGGATCTTGAGAGGTCTAAACCATAGCATGGGCCATATATGTATAGCAACGCGGCACCAGATACGTCATGGAGCTTGCAGTCTGAAGTCAGGGATTTTGCTTGGTCACTGTATTTATGGCCACTCTGTCATTAAACAGGGGTTTGTTTTGGTTTTTTTTTTGAGGCCATACCAAAAACAAGAAGAAAAAAAAAAGAGAAAAAAAAAAGGAAAAACTCTTGAGATATCTGTCTGTTTTCAGAGGCAAGGCGCAAGGTCTGCCACTGCAAGCTTCTAAATTAAATGCTGTGGTATACGCTTTGCTTCTCTTTTGTAACTGCAGAAAGACAATTAAGAATGGCAAGAAACAAATGCCCTAGGCACACTGTGCTGATATCATCACCAAGTGGTTATTTTGCACAATGAGAATTAACTGTACTATGGATACCCAGAGAAAATGTACAATATCTTATGCTGATATGAAACAAAACAGACATGATATAGCTTTTTTGTACTTAAAACCTGTATGTTCCCTTCCCAAACTTAAGTAAAAAGCAAACCCACCCTTTTCCTCCTGTTACACAGAATAACGTTTAGGTTCCAACCCTCCCCTTTCAAATAAAGTGCGCTGTCCATGGCAGACCATAGGAGTAATGCAACAGGAAAAGCCCCTTTTAGTGTACTATTTAAAAAACAAACTGAAGTCGATTCAGCTTTCCTCTGGGTCTTGTGAAAGAGGAGAAGCCTAAGGGAGGGGGGAAACATCCCCTTCACTGTCACTGTTGTTAATAGACATAGCCTTCATTATAGGGGTGGGTGTTGCAGCAGCCACCGTCCTGCATATAGACCATGCTCTCATCAAAGTGGGACAGAGGTACAGTGTCCTCCTCATTGATGTGGCGCTCCATGTCAGTCTTCAGTAAGGGGCGCTGGTTGTCTGGGAAAGCCATGGAGAAAAGCGCTTCAGGGTCGCAAACAAACTTGTAGACGTATCTTTCTCCAGCCACCTTAGGACAACAGAAGGGACAAAAAGGTGCAGCGTAAGGCCTTGTGGTTTTACAACGCCAAGTTCAACAGTCTTGTGAAGAACTCACCTTCATTATGCAATTAATAATGCAGCAGCAGAACTGGTATGGCAATAACCTAGCAAAGACAACAGGGATCTGCAGAAGCAGACTGTGCGGAACACTCCTGGTTTGCCACATACAATATCCTCTTGGAAGATGGACTAGGTATTCTACTTCCAACCTTTTGTTTGCAATCATTTCCTATACTTAACCACAAATGGAACTGTTCTTATTGGAAAATGTAAACAAATTGTCACTACAGTGGCAAAATAAAATGACTAAGTCCAACACTCTGTGTGCGAAGTGGAAAAAAGAATCACGTTGCATGACAGTGATCTGAATTTCACTTTACGCAGATTGATTCATAGTTAAGTATAAAAGCACTTAGTTATAGTGCATGCTGATTGTACAGGGACAACGTAAGCAAATATGTAGCCTAATACGTACTTAGCAATTGCTCATGCAAAGCTGGGACATTTGGATCTGCTTATGGAGGGGCAATTTGTCCAAAGATCCTAAAGTTTTCCGTTATTCAGAAATAGCACTAAAAGTCTGTGGTTCATCTTCCTAAAAGCTGAAGAATGATAAAAACAATGCAGAATTATTGTCTTATTTTAAAAAAAAAAAAAGTCAATATAGTGTCTTCTCAAGCACCTTATTTAAAGAATTACGTTAAAAAATATGAACCATGTTGCATGCTCACAGTTTATTAAAATTATTTTAAAATAAAGATCATATTGTCTGCTTCTTGCAACTCCAGCTAGCACGGCATTGGAAGTGAGTGAATGAAGGTGGCAAAAGTGTTGCAAAGTTAACTCTTCTTAAGGGTGCAAAATAGTCTGACGCACCTCCTTAAATCTCCATCTTATTTATTCTACAAATAAGGTAAAGTTTTGGTAGAGGCTGTATCTGCAGTAGAATTTTTTTCATCAAATTAATGTCAGCAAGTTTGACAGACTGAAGGTTGCATTCAGAAATTGGGCATTTGCATAACCTGTTATCATTGCTTAACTTAAAAGGGGAAAAATGTGCATACACACCTTGCAGGAAAGAAACCCGCTATGAATCTACAACCACCATTAGTTTTTAACATACACTAACTGGCCAGATAGGGTGATTCCAGGGCAAACCTCAAACATTGCTAAGTCAGAAAAATAAGCATCCAAACTAGCTTTTAAAATGTGTGTTAAATATATTCTTGTAGATAATAAAGTAGTAGTTTAAGAGCAAGCTAGCTGTCAGAAGTACTTGTAAACTTTCCATTTTAAATGGATGTGTGGGTTGGGCAGCATTATCAGCCTTATGGTATTCCCATCCCCACCTTTTCAACGTGTTTCACTCTCTTTGCTACTTATTCTTGCCTCTCTGCTGCCTTTGAACTGTGCCGGCACAACTGGCTATGCAGCTGAGCTGTAACCTGTAATGAGGATGTCCTCTGCCTGAAGCACCACCCAGCAAAATCAAGCGTTTCTGCTTCTCCCTAACTGGACCAGTCTCCAGTCCACTTTACAAAGACTCAATGCACAGTTATGTGACACAGAAAAATGGATGAGGCACTGTGCTGCTGAAGTACCATAAGCCAATACTAGCCCAGATTGTTGTCCAAGCTGACTCCTGGAGAGTGAAAAAGGAGAATACTGTAACAGTCCCATAAACAAAGCAAGAGAACTTGTAACAGGCAACTCCAAACTGAGACTTCATAAAACCTACTGGAAAAGTTGCCCCGTAACTTGAGCAGATAGCATTGTTTCCATTCATGGAATTGGCAAGTGACAAGTTTAAACATGTTAGTCATCACAGGTCACCAAACTAATGTGAAAAGATATGGAACAAGCTTTACAGCACAAGGTGTTCATTACGATCTTTGATCACACCTGCCAGTTTCGTAGATGCAGCAGACAGGTCTCTCCTATTGGTTTCTCAGTCAATCTACATAGTACTACGTAGGAAGATTTAAAAACATACATGTAAATCAGCAAGCCACAGTGGAAGGACGGGTTGAATACTGTCAGCAAGACCAGACTGGTATATATAAATTATTGTTAAATATTTCTCACAATTCAGCCATTATAAAATATTAAATTCCACTTAAAAGTAGTATTATTACCACACTATTGGTAAAATATTAAAGTATTTGGTATGTTAATAGGTATCATTTTTCTCCCCTATCATGCACTTTACTAAAGTACCCAAGTGCTGGGCACCTAATTTAGATCTGCAAAACATTATTCATACTGTACTCTACTGTTTGCCTTTCCCAGGTGCCAGGAAGCTCTTTTGGGTATTTTTGAATGTT